CTCCATGCCCTGCGGGGACGCGGACACACGGTTATTCCCGAGCCTCCGGGACTCCCGGCGGCTCGCGACCGCCGCCCCCCCACACCCAGGGGGGCCGCCGGCCCAGGTTACAAAACGCGGCAGCTCCCGCCCCGCGAGGGGCGGTGGGTCCTGCTCAGCGAGTCACGTGTCAAGGTCCCAAAGCCCCGCAAGGTCTCAGGACCCCGACCCCCATATGCAAGTAGGGCTAATGCTGTCCTCTGTTTTTTTCTCCCAGGGAACGCTAAGGATGGGCTTTATTAACCATTCGCTGTGCAGGATGTGAACCCGGTGGAGAGAGCATGAGCCTTCTCACACCTGCAACACTCGGGCCTCGGCTCTGCTGGAAAGTGCGGGCGGCGGCCGTGCCTGCGCAGGCCCTTTGGTTGCATGAAGACTTGGGGCATGAGCTTTGTAATACAGTGCGGGTTTCTCTCTCTCCCCGATGAGTGAAAAAAAAAAGTCACCAAAAACTCAAAAGTCATGCTGTCTAGCAAACGTAAGAAATTAATCTTTCTAAGTTAGATGCTTGCCCGGAGCAACTCTTCTGCTTGCTGTTCCTCCAGGCTCTTATCCTAGAATTAAGCCCCAGATGTGGTTTCGCTCTTTATTCCAATTAGAGCTCATCGGGTGTCACTCTTTGATGGGTGCTGAATTAAAACGAAATTAAATTAATACCACTATGTCTGTTTTGAAAGCTTCCTTTAAAAAATGAGTAAAGGTTGAATGAAACAAAATCACCCCAATTTTTTGTTTAACAACTCGGGGGAAAACCTTGTGCCAGATGGAATTGAAGCCAGTTACAGAAGACCAACAAAGAGACAGAACTGTACACTCTGGGGTAAAAGTACATCCTTCCTAGTTGCCAAAAATTCCCACCTTCATATCCACTGTATTCATCATCATTAGGAACTTCTTAAAAGTGGCAAATAAGCCACAGAAATAGAGCGTTTCGATCCTGTGAGATATCAGGGCAGTAATTATTCTCATCTGAAAGATGAGGAAATGGAAACACAGGCAGGTTCTAGATGCAGCCAGTCCTTCACAGAGCCCAGTCTAGAATCTTGGTCTCCTGACTCTGCCTAGGTCTTAATTTTACTCGCATGCCCCCATAATTCCACCCACCAGTAATAAATTTCCAAGTAAAGTCATCTCTTAGCAAAGTGAAAAAAAAGTCACTCAAAAATATATAATGGCTCAGGGATATAATCCCAGTATTACAAGTCCAATGGTAAGTCTTCAGATAGTATCCCTCTAGGCTCCCCACTTACCATTCACCTCTGGCTACCTCCAGGAAAGAAAAATCTGGGGCTGTTTCTGGGTGAGCATGCTTTATAGTTCCAGAGAACCAATGACGGCCCTGGGAAAGCCTTGTCTCACTCTGAGAATTGCCATTTCCTGGCCTGGCCCCTGCTGCCTTCATCCTGAAGGATGTGACATGGTGGAAAATGACCTGCCAGCCACACAACACATGCCATATTTAGGAAATGAACATTGTGTGTTCCCTTTCCCCTAAATGCAGGAAAAGAACAGCAGGCTCTTCCCCAACTTGAAACAAGTATGTCATTCTCCCAGGAGGGCATACCCTGCCTTTCCTCTCCTGAGAATAGCTAATGACGTTATCTGGGAGTACATCAAAAGCACCCCAGGCTGACCAATTACAGTGTTTCTTGAGAGACCACAATTATAAAATCATTTTTTAAAAAGAAAAGGGGGCGGACGCTTATGTTTGATATAGCCACTTATAGTCCACTCTTGTATTTGAAAAAGCATTGTGAATCTGTGAGTGGTTGAAACACGTGATCCAATAAGCATGAGGCCTTAAAAAAAGAAAAGAAAACGCAAGGCCCCACCCACAGGAAGTGCTGCGTGCAGTTTTGGGCATCTCCAGCTGCAGGGAAGATGCTAGAGGTCTCAGAAAGGTCACCCTGCAGGCCAAATGCGTCAGAAAAATCTGTGGGGTCAGGCTGCACAAGGAGCTAATTATATACTCAACAGCAGGAGGGATTCAGCTTCCCGGGTTTCCATTTGAAGTAGCAATTGCAGTCCATGCAATAGTTAAATGAATGGATTCTATCCCCAGGTTAGTGAAGCATGGCTTGAACGGCAATTTATCTGAATAATTCAGGAGGGAAAATGGAGTATAGCATCTGTGGGTGCTTTCTAGCGATGAGAGCTCAGCCTGGCAGCCTCCGGCCATAGGGCTCCAAATACATAATCCTTCTTCTAACACTCTCACTTTAAAATGAGGGAGGCCAAATTGGTTTCTCCCTTAAATAATTATCGTCTCAGCTCTCTGGTTCATCTGGAAAGTCTTAACAGCCATATCTTTCTGGAACACAATTAAATTCCCCACCTTTATAACTATAATTTATCAACACAATGCCATTTGCTACTACTCAAATGATGGTCCTTTTGAACTTAATTTTTCTGAATCTGATCCATGTCCAAATATTCTGGTTGTAGCTCCTCAAAGGATAAATGTAACCTTAGTCAAGATGCCTTCAGTATCTACCTGTGCTTTTCAATTAAGTGGTGGGAAAATATGTCCCCATAGACATTAACATTCCAAATGGAATGTAAGCCAGGTTGAACTGAGGGTGGGGAAGGTGGTGGGCAAAGAGGGACAGTACCCTGATTCTCCACTTCCCATATGCTTCTTCAACATCCCTAGTTCAAGAAAGAAGAGAGGAAGAGATCTTGGTAAGCACAGGGATCTCCAAACTGCAGCCCAGGAGAATCTGAATCAGGAGGTCTGGAGTGGTGTCTGGGCAAATGTAGGTGATTCTGACCTGCAGCCAGGGTTGTGAACCACTCACTGCTCTAAAATTTTCTGACCACTAGTTCCATGGCAGCAGAAACAGTAGGGCCAGTAGAGAGCAGTTTATCAGTTAGGTGTTTATACAGTTAAGTTATTAACAACCTATTCATTTTGGGCCCCTAGTTAAAACTATCACATTTTTAAGATACAGTGATAATTATGATCAGGGCCTCCCAGAGATCTAGAGAAGCTTGGGCCATGTCTATTTGTTGAGGCTCTCAGTGAACAAAAAGATAAAGAAATGCCAAAACAAGATATGAAAAATTGTAGTTTATTATAATTACAGTGTACTATATCTTGCAATGTCAATATTGTGCTATTCACAAGATAATCCGGGGATTTATAAAATATTAATCCACAGTGCACTACAGTGGTAATGTGGCATAGTTTAGAGTTTATGATGATGACCTTTTTCTTTTCATCTTTATCAGTATATCTCAGTGACTATACATAGGACTCCTTTTGGAGACAACATCAAAAGTATAAAATCGAGCCCTTGCTGGCGTTGCTCAGTGGTTAGAGTGCTGGTCTGAGCACCAAAGGGTCACAGGTTTCATTCCCTGTCAAGGGCACATACCTGGATTGCAAGTTCAATCCCCAGCCAGGGTTGGGTGCATTTTTGTAAGGCAGCCAATCGATGTGTCTCTCACGTCAATGTTTCTCTCTCTCTCCCTCTCCCCTCCCTCCCTCCCTGCCTTCCACTCTCTCTAAAAATCAATGAGAAAAAAATTTCCTCAGGTGAGGATTAACAAAAAACAAAAACTGAAAAATCGAGACAATTTGTGAATGTGAGATTTAGGCCAAAGGTCTTTCAGACTTTCCTTTGTAATAGGTCCCACTATGTAGAGTCACTCAAGTAAATAAAAGTTAAGATAATAACACACATCCACCTGAGGATTATTGTCATAAATTCATGGGACTACATAGAATTAAAAAAAGACCCAGTGAACACTGAACTCCAGCTATTTTCTTCACATTGGCCTATGATCTTTGTTAATGTACACACATCCTTAACCAGCAGTGTTTAAACACTGCTCTGTGTTCTTTTTTCCACTTAACGTTCCTGCAGATACACATGCCTCTATGTTGACATAGTCCTTACCTCTTGTCATTTTTAACTGCTATGTAATAATCCCATTGTTTGTTTAGTCACTTCCCTATTAGACACTTGGATTGCTTCCAGGTTTTTCCACTATTATAACTAGAGGTGTGTAAATTTTCCCCCTTTGGATTATTTCTTTGGGGAATATTCACAAACAGGAAAAATACCAGGTGAAGGAGAATGAACTTTTTTATTAAATGATTTAGAGAGAGGGAGGGAGGGAGAGAAAGAGAGAGAGAAAAAAATCAATATGAGAGAGAAACATCAATTGGTTGTCTCCCACACACACCCCAATCAGGGATCGAACCCACAGCCTAGGTATGGGCCCTGATCAGGAATCGAACGCGCCGCCTTTTGGTGTACGGAACGTTGCTCCAACCAACTGAACCACACCGGCCAGAGTGAGAATGAACATTTCCCTGGTTTTTGTTCTGCGTTGCTATATTGCTTTCCAGAAGAACCAACTTATAATGTCATTAGCTTTGTACGAATCCAAGCTGTAGGCTATGGGACTGCTCAAAGTTTCCTTATATTAATGGTTAATTTATTTGGTTTGTTTTAGTTCCACAAATGT